GTCATGAGAGTCAGTGCCCTGTACAGTCCAGGAATGGTTCACTCCAAATTGCTCTCTTCAGCATCTTTGCCATGTTTTTCTGGTGGTGGCTCCCACTCTCTCTTTTGTTACCTATCCACTATGCTACCCTACCTAACTTCAGTGTACTCAGTTCTGTAGAGTCTTCTGTCCATCTGTTCCATAACCACAGTTTCTAGGTTTCTCAAGTCTCTGTTCATAGTCAAACCTCAGTGTCTCCTCAGTCTCCAATTGCTTTCTGAGAAGTTGCTGCCTACCGCTAACCTGCCATCTTAACTTTTATACTTCGTAACATGTTTAACATTTTCATTACATATATTCCTGGTGCATAGTGCTCTGTTACACAAAGATATTTTCATGCATATATTTAGTATACCCCCATAGTCCCACCCACCCCTTTCCCCATGCCCTGCCCCTTCATCTGTTCTGCTTTGTAAAGGATTTTCCCTGACTGTGGAGCTGATGGTGGGACAGCAGAGAAGAAGACAGCAAGAGTGGAAGAAGGTGGAGATCCAGGTGACTGATCATGTGAATCAAGTCAGAGTATGACCAAGAAGGACAGGAAGGGGGCCAGATAAGATATATTTTGAAAGTGGAATCTGAAGTATTTTTGGCAGATTAGCCATGGGGATCTAAGGAGAAATCACAGCTGAGGTGGACTGTCTTTTTGTCTTGAGAATAAAGCTCAGCTGAAAGGAGAAAGAAGGAACATATGGGGAGATCTTAGTTCAGCTCTGGACAATTTCAAGGCTGAGGTTTCTACTGAGCATCTAAGTGAAAATGCAAAGAAAGCACAGTGTTCAGACAGTGCCTCCGGCTTGCAGACGCACAGGAGTCACCAACATACAGGAGCTATTTTCACTGTACTGTTCCATCAAGTTATTGAGAAAGCAAGAGTCTATAAAGAAGACTTTGTGCACTGGTCTCATTTAAAATAGTGGAAATGAAGGAGCATTAGCAGAAGTATAGAATTAGAAAAAAGAAAAGCAATTGAAACAGAAAAAAAGGCAGGTGTGTGGTGAAGAAGAGATTTCATCAAGAAAAGAATGGTATCCTATGTCAAATGCACCGATCCTCATGAGGGCTCTGGAGAACACACCACCCGTGACTTTAGAAGACCGTGCCTGGGGAATAGCTGTGCATCATGTTTCTGAGTGCATGCAAGGGAGGATGGGTGACAGAGAAGAAAGCAAGCATAGAACATTTTTCCAAAAACAAACAAACAAAAACAAAAAAACCTTCAAAAACAGCAAGGGTGGCTAGATCAAAACTGGGAATCAGAATAAGTGGGTACTGACGCCTGCAGGTGGCAAAGAAAATGATGTAACTTATGGGCTCTGTTCTGATGCTTTTCATTTTTGCTCAGTGAAATGAGGGTGAGGAAGAGAAAGAAGACGTCTAGGGTTTAAGAGAAAAACAACCATTTCGGTAAGTGGAATCTGAATAGATTAAGGAGATGTGGTGAGCTCACAAATAGCCTCAGATTCCACCTTGGGTTAACAGTCAAGGATCTAAAAGGTGTTTAGTTAAGAACAGCTGTGCCTCAGCCCAGCAGGTGTGCATGACTATACAGGCTCAGACCTGAAGAGTGGAGAGCAGACTTTAACGTGTGTGTGTGTGTGTGTGTGTGTGTGTGTGTGTGTGTGTGTGTGTAGTCTTTTGTCAATCAGGAGGCACTTCACAGATGAAAATGTATTTAAACAGTGCTAAGCATAAGATTAAGTGTTCGATTTGTAATGTGTAAGTAGAAAGGGTAAAGCAAACACAAGACTCCAGATTCAAGTGGACTTTCTGGAATGAGCTGACTATAGAAGAGGGACTAATCAAAGCAGGATGCTTAAAGCTGAGACTATGAAGCTGCAGAGTGATGATGGGGTTAGGTTATAACAATAGTGATGCATTTTATGCTTGAGTCACTGAAGAAAAGGTCACATTTCTGATGGACCAGGAATCTGTGTTGGTTCTGAGGCAAGTGGTGGTATCACTGTGTTTGAAGGCCTACTTTTAGAAGAAGTTAAATATCCATACAAAAGGATTAGTTAAACCTGAAGTCATAGGTAGAAGAAATGGGGGAACATCACAGAAATAATGTACTGGGAATGACATGGACATATTCCTTTATACTTTTGAATATGACCCTGACATGACTGAGTTCCAGGGATCAGCATCCAGAGATAGCCACTTTAGAAAGAATGAGAATCAGGGCAGGGAGCTTAAATACCATGACCAAGAAAAATTCTGTGTCTGCACTATGTCCATCTGTTTTGACAGGTGCAGTAATTATGATTGAGTAGGTGAAATTAACAAGTAATTCTGAGATATGATTGCTAGATCTATGGGATTAGAGTCTGTAGAGAACAATAGTGCATGCAAAGCCCAGCAATATTCACGATCATATCTAATCCTCATATCAATCCTGTGTATTAAGTAATTTGGCATGATTATGGGACCAGCAATTAGCAGTCTGGATGTGAAAAACTCACTCTGACCTTTCTACATATACTCCTCCTGCTAGCTATGGGTCTCCATTACTTTTCAGAGATGCACAGTGTAACTTCAAAGAGACTCTAAGTGGTTTTGAATAAATATACTAATAAGCAAACCATTACCAGTTATTTCTTTTCAGAATCTCACAGAAAAGTCTCACAATTCCTATGTTTCCATGGGAACACTTGTCAGCACAGAATGTAGCATTCGTCCTGTCATGGAATGTTCTCTCTAGAAATTCATGCATTCACTTCCCTAATATTTATTGAGCAAATAGTCTGTGCAAGTATTGTTCTGGGGACAGAGGATACCATCTAACAGGAACCTCCCAGTTCTACAGGAAGTGTCTGCTTACTGTTGATAGCAAACACCTCCACTGCTCCACAGAGCTTTCTGAGCTTGGTACAATTTAACTTTGCCTTTGTCCAAAAATAAAAATACACTCTATCTCTGAGGACTTAGTTACCTAAGAGATCATTGGTCTCCCTGATGGTTTGGCACAAAGCATGCTCAGCCATAAAGCCCTGGAGATGGAATCTTAGATCAGGACTCTAGAGAGAAAGAACCAGGGTATTTTCCAAAAGGAACTTCTATTCAAAACGGCCCGGTGTTGAAGCTGGATTTTAAAATGCTAGACCCTAAGTGGAATAGGGCTGTGCTGTCCTCCCCAATCACCACCCGTCTTTTCCTAGAAAAGTTAGTATACCATGTACCATATAACCACTTACTTATGTGCCTCATGAATACAAACTCTCCTTCCAGGATGTGAGGCAAAGATCAAGTCGCAGAAGCTCTGGGCACTAGTGTTTGAGGACAACTAACTCTGCATCCATTGCTTGAGAAGAGCTCCCTTTGGTGGGGCTGGTGTTAAAACAGCAGTTCTGTAGCATGTGGTGTTGGCATGTCAGTGAGGATTGCTGCGTGCTGAGAAATCCCTGTACCTTCACTGCTTGATGCCAAGATCGCCATGAATTCGTGCAAACTCACCTGCTGCTGCCCTAGGGTGCAGGCAGGCTCCGGGGAATGCTAAGCTTTATCTCCAGGTCCCTGAAGATGTCCCTTCCTAGCTGCAGCACAGGTTGCCCACACACACACACACACACAGAATGTGTGAGTCACACTGCAATTTAAGAATTACCCTCTTTGTCCCTTATATTTGCAAAAACTGAGATAAACCAAAGCACAGGTTTTCTTGGTTTAAAAAAAGTAAAGGAAATCCCATATTTTATTGGGATTTGAAGATTAAAAAAAAACCTGCAACACGTGTTGTTCTTGCATTCTCTCGGAAGATAGACTAAATTCGAGACATTTCTGTAATTATGAGACCACACAGCGAGTCTGTACGTTTATAGTTTAAGGGAAGGTTAAAGGAAGGTAATTCAGTTTTGGAATAAGAGAAGTGGCACCAGCTTTGCGATCTTCCACTCCCCGCCTAGGGCGGGGCCGGCCCTTGTTTTCCCTGGTTGCTAGCAGTGTCCCTCCGCCCGCCGACACTCACTAAGCAGCCGCCAGGGGTGCTGCGTTTCCCACCTGCGGCTAAGAGTGGCCCCACCTCCTAGTCTGCCTAGTTCTGGTTGCCTCTGACTCCTTAAGCACGCGGGGTGTGGGCACTGGCCATCTGAGAGGGGTAGGTCCTGAGGGCCTTCGCATCTCCCCAGTCTGGGTGGGGTTTGGCAATACTCGATCCCTGGGGCTGCCCTCTCCTTACCCCGAGGGCACGCCCTCCGCTGCCAGCTTTGCTCTGGGTGTTCCAGCCCTGCAGGTTCTCTACCTCCCTGGATCTCCAAAGCCTGGCACGCCCACTATCGCTGCCAGTATCGGAGCCATAGCTTCCTAGTTACAGCACTCTGTTCCACCCTCGCGGGCGCTAGCGGCACACCACAACCCGGCCAGGTGCCCGAGTTCCCGGTGCAGCACAAAGAGGCCTGCGCTTCTCCAGCCCTCGCCGCTACCACGCCCGCTCGCGTCCACCGGCCCCTGCCCTCGGTGGTGGCCCGACTCGGAGACTCCACCACTCTGCCAGCTCTGTCCCCCACCCCCACAGCGTCGGTCAAATCGACCCAGCGCTCTCTGAAATCCCACGAGCCCGGGCCTCCAACTGCCTCTCTGCTGCCCTCCGCGTCCAGCACTGGCCAGCAAGCCCCCATCCCCCTTCCCCCCGCCGCCCGCCGCTCCCCTCTGTCCCGGCCCCTCCTCCGGGGCCCTCCTTCTTCTCGCCCCTCCCCAGCCAGGGTGGGAGCGGCGGCAGCTGGAAGGGAAGGGATGAGGTCATCCTCTCCCTCGGAGTCAGCTGGTGGAGGAGAGGCTGCGGGAGGAGGGAGCGCGCGCGAGGGGAGGAGAGGAATGTGCAGGTCCGAGGAGCGCCGCGGCGGCCGCTGCTGCTCCTGCTGCTGGCGGCCGCGGCGGCTCGTGCTGCAGCCGCGGGGCTGGGACGGCGCGGAGCGCGGGCGGCTGGCAGGGGCGCGCGCGGGCCGGCGCGAGCAGCTGGGCTCGGCGCAGGCAGCCAGGCGGCGCTCCTGCGGGCCCCGAACGTGCGGCTAGCCGGGCCCAGCGCCCAGCCCCGCGGGCGGCGGCGGGCGATCGGGCGGGCACAGGAGCAGGAGCGGGAGAGCGGAGCGGCCAGGAGGGAAGCCGGGGCGAAGGGAGAAGGTGGCGGGAGGAGGAGACAGCAGGGACAGGTGTCAGATAAAGGAGGGCTCTTCTCCACTGCTGAGGCATCATGGCCGCTAAGTCAGACGGGAGGCTGAAGATGAAGAAGAGCAGCGACGTGGCGTTCACCCCGCTGCAGAACTCGGACAATTCGGGCTCGGTGCAAGGACTGGCTCCTGGCTTGCCGTCGGGGCCCGGAGCTGAGGATGTAGAAGCGGCTGGGGGCGGCTGCTGCCCGGACGGCGGCGGCTGCTCGCGCTGCTGCTGTTGCTGCGCGGGGAGCGGTGGCTCGGCGGGCTCGGGCGGCTCTGGCGGCGGCGGCCCGGGCAGCGGGGCGGGCTCGGCGGCGCTGTGCCTGCGCTTGGGAAGGGAGCAGCGGCGCTACTCGCTGTGGGACTGCCTCTGGATCCTGGCCGCCGTGGCCGTGTACTTCGCGGACGTGGGAACGGACATCTGGCTCGCCGTGGACTACTACCTGCGCGGCCAGCGCTGGTGGTTTGGGCTCACGCTCTTCTTCGTGGTGCTGGGCTCGCTCTCTGTGCAAGTGTTCAGTTTCCGCTGGTTTGTGCACGATTTCAGCACCGAGGACAGCGCCACGACTATGGCCTCCAGCAGCCAGCAGCCTGCACCCGATTGCAAGACGGTGGTCAGTGGTGGGTCTGCAGCCGGGGAAGGCGAGACTCGCCCTTCTACGCCGCAGAGGCAAGCATCCAACGCCAGTAAGAGCAACATCGCCGCCACCAACAGCGGCAGCAACAGCAACGAGGCCACCCGGACCAGCGGCAAACACAGGTCTGCGTCCTGCTCCTTCTGCATCTGGCTCCTGCAGTCACTCATCCACATCTTGCAGCTCGGGCAAATCTGGAGGTACTGTATCAAGAATGGGGGTGGAGGGAGACTACTGCTGCTTCCTATGTGCACTGTGCTCTGATTTTGCATGAAATCGTCCAAGATGACTGTCATAGTGAGCCTAGTCACTCTTTGGTTTTTTTGGTTTTTTTTTTTCTTTTCTAAAGTGCTCCCCCCCCAGCTTAGGTTAGGTGAGGAAAGAGAAACCAGGGATGGGCATGGACATGTTTGTGGTCTCTCATGCACCCCATCTTCTTGAAGCTTTTCTGTATATGCTACAACTTCTTCCCAGATTGTAGACACACCATTTCATTAGTAGAGGATTCCTGTCACACTTTCTAAAAATCATTTTCTCTTATCTCCAATTTGTGGTGGATTGCACTTTGTAGACTTCCCTTTGTTCTGGGTGATAGGATTACTAATTCCAGTTAAATAGGAATTGTTAATACTCAAAGGAACCCACACCTCAATGATAACTGCTAAAGAAGTACTGTGCTCAAAATAGTGCTAATAAATATTTGATTTGTCATATATATAACATGAATCAATATATATGTATATCATTTTATGTATTGGGTGTGTGTGTGCATGCGCAAGCACACTCCTGCATGTGTGTGTACAAGTGATCAGGCTTTAGGACACCCTAACTCATATAGAATACTTTTTGATTATCTTGTAGTATCTAGGAGTCTACTTTTGCCTGTAACTGAGAAAGGGGTAGTAAGCACATTGGGTAAACTTTAATTGCACTTGGAATTTTCATTGGTTGATTTGCTGCTTATCACTCCATCTACCAAGTCTCTTTACATAGTTATCCTTCCACTTATAAACTGAAGTACAAGACTAAACTAGTTGGGGGAGATCCCTCAGACATCACTGCAAAGTCATAGGAATGTAGTGTAACAATGTGCACAAAAATCTGTTCTTTTGACTTTTATGTGTTTAGAATTTTGGAAAGCAATGTTTAACACACAAAAGCATGTGTTGAAGAATATAGAGGCTAATACCCTCCATATTCCTTGGTTTTAAAATGACTTAGTAAGTATGTACTGCAGTCGGTGGAAACTTCCTCCCAAGTGGGCTGATACTGGTCAGTAGTTTGCACTTTCACCTGTAGTTGTTATGATGACAGGCATTGTAAGTCATTGGCATGGTGAAGTATCCCATGATAAAACAGGTCAGGGCATTTGCAGAATACATTCACAAACTTCTTTTCCTTTCTGGTGAACAGTAGGGTGCTCATCTGAGTACAGCAAGTGAAATAATTCCATTGCACTTATTAGGATCAATATTTGTAAAACAGGGTGAGCATGACCATAGATAGTGATATCTTGCCTTAGAAAATATTTAGAGAAGATACTTTCTGGAAAAGAATGGTATGTTTTCAGACAAATTGTTGTGGAAATATCTCAAACACAAGGAGACTTTCTAAAACACCCATTATCAGTGTCAGCTCTACTGCTCACAGAAGACTATTGGAAGACCCAGAGTAGTTATTCTTCTTCAATATGAGTAAGAACTAGAAGGCTTATTTAATTGCTGAAATTATTTTATTGGCGGCTTGAATTACAAGATTAGCAATTTTAGCAACATGGTATAGAAAGCTTACCAACCTATTTGGTAACTTGTAGAAACTTTATAAAAGATTTTTGAAATCACTTCTCTTTTAATTATCTGTACATCGATAATGCAAACACTTCTTAGTTATATTCACCGAAAAGCTGTGCATGTCTCCTCAGATTGATATTTTCTGAAAAACAAGTGGTGTCAAACTCAGTGAACTGAAGAGTAATTTTAATTGCAGTGTTTATTAGACTTTCCAATCTAAGCATTTTCCCAATTGAAAAGAATGCCCCATTTCTTCAGGAAATTATTATACTCAGAAAGTGAGAAGTAGGAAAACATATGGAACAAAATACCACAGCGAGACAATAGCCACTGGGTCAGTGGGTCTAACAGAAGAGCCACAAGAGGGCAAGGGACAAAGGGTAAGACTAAAAGCAGAAAGGGATTATCAGGCTGTCAGACACGTGCACTAATTGGCTCAAGCCTTGGATGAAAACACGGTTCCATTTTTGTTAAGCAGCCCTACAAAAATATTCCTGAGAGATATTGTTGTTTGTTTTGGTAATAGGCTTGTCAGGGTGGAACTGTTCTTTTTGGAAATACCATGTCTTTTTCATCCTGGCAAAATGAAGGACTCACTGTGGAAATCTCAATTGTTACTTGACTGATAAATGCCTGAGGAATCCCATGATAATCTGGTAGAACCATGATCTAAAGCAACTATCTTTATTTCCTTAAAACATGCTTTTGAATTATTTGACATAAGTAGAGAACTTTAAAGAAAGATAATGATCGTGCAATTTAACACTCAGATACTTTCTGATATGTTCCAATTTTCATTGGAATAGAACTTTAGTGCGTGGAGTGTACCTTTTATAATAAGTGGTAAAAAGGACTCAGCTAAGTTTATTGTATTAGAAATGGTGTAATATGTTAGACCAATGTAGATCCTTAAGTTAGAAGTATCCCTTGACCTCCTCCAGCTCTACTTTTCAATGAATTCTACCCCAATACTGCAGTAACCCAGAGTACAGGGTGGTTTAAATCTCCAAGGTCATTATTCATGTTTTAACCTACCACTGTCTCGAAGAAGATAGATTTTTATCAAGGTTGCTAATTTTTCTTTGCATTGCCTTGAAATTGTAGTTATTTTAGGAAAGCATAAGACTCTAAAATCTTTCTGTAGATAAAATATTTAAAAATAACATCCTTGTGTTTGTTTGTTCTAAAATAAGCCATTTGAAACTCTGTGATCAAAATTTGCATGTGTTATACATGCATAATGAATACAACTGCTAAAAGCAATGATACATGTTCATTTTAATTAAAGTTTACTAATGGGAAATTAATGGACTCTGTTAAAGTCATAGGAGGTGGTGCTGAGAAGAAGCCACGCAGAATAATGAAGTGAGCTTTTGCTAATACGTGGAAAGAGCAACCATGAGTTTAAGGCACTGTGCCTGCAAGTGAAGGGGAACATGATTCTCTACTACTCTCTTTATATAATTCCAGAATGACTAACAATTCAACTCATCCAGTGAGAATCATGATGGCACAACCATTAACTATGCCTGTGGTAAGGTGGTCTGCAAGAAAAGTTATTCTATGATTGGGTAAAAACAATGATGGTAATGTTATCAAGAAACTTAAAATTATTACCTTTTAATTTCCCAAGTTGCAGTAAAGTGGAAGGGAATGGTTAGTTGCCCTCTTTATAAGAAAACTAGCTTAGAATAAGGAAGTGTTTTCCAGGGTCACCCTGATACTGAATCTTGTGTCTAGCATTCAGAACTAGGTTTGTCTTACTCTAAAGTTCATGTTCACCATGGATCATTGACTAACTCCCTGTGCCCACTTGAATGATAATGATAAAAATGTGCAAAAATAAAAAATTTCTGCACTAAGATTGGCAAGGGAGTTGCAGTACAGATCAGTGGAGGAATCTCCCTGGTGGGCAAATATCAGATAAGGGCAGACTACTCCTGCTCACACGTCCAAGTCCAGCACTGCTCCTGCTATCTTACTTGGTTGTTCCATTAAGTTTGGCTACACAGCATGATCGTGTGGTGACCTTTCTGATTAGCTCATACAATGTATGTGAATACGCAAAAAGCACTTGTAAATAATTTTGTCCTAGAGATAAGGAATACATAGGAAGCAGAACCCAAGTCATACTGTAAACTTCTAAAATATGTGCTTTACAGATTCAGCATTAGTCCTGAATCCTGATATGGCTCACACAATATTGGTTCCTTTTGCTGGTTCCTTGAATGACTATTTTTCTGTCTTATTCATATTCCTTCTTTGTGCATATTTATTATTTAATTCATTCAACCTCTATTTAGTACCTACTATGTGCAATGCACTGTTTTAGGTACTAGTTTTCCTAAGATGAATTAAATGTACACCTTGGAATTTGCTCTCTCATGAGGAAGACAGAATATATACAGATAACATCAAAATAAGGCTAAGTCCTGTGATAGAAATTCAAACAACCTTGATGGTTCATATAGGTCAGGAGATGTCTGTATAAAAGTTTAAGTGATTAGAAAACATTATGATTCACTTTATAGCCTTGAGTCTAACAAAGCATAAATGCTAGGGGGCAAAAAGTGAACAGGATACACTGTGTGTACCCAAACACAGGGCTGAGAGAGAGTAGCTAGAGAAAAGCCTGAATGATTCTTTGTACTAGACAATGAAAAGGAATGAGATTTTACTCTAAAGTCAAGGAGGAGCTTTGGAATGATTATAAAGGATACTGGTTTGCAAAAGTGTTACAAACTTGTTTTATTCAAAGCAAATTTTCACAGCTGAAAGTCTCAGAAGAGATGTCACTATTTCCTCTGATTCAACAGTGTCTCTTCCATTCATGAACTACATAGACATCACAGGGCTTGGTTTGGGTATTATTGAAATATGTAAATAAACCCAATACAATAGTTATTTCTTTGAGAAACAGACTGTTTCATTCTACCTATACAAAATGCAAAAGAAAATTCTGTACCAAAATGTATTTGTGTGATTTATTTTTTGTTTTTACAAAAGCTTTCCCCTAGAATATGGTGAGCTTTACCATATATAATTTACATTTCCTGGTCTGTATTTATTTATTTATTTGCTTGTTTGTCTTTGAAGACAGAGTTTCTCTATGTAGCTTTGGAGCCTGTCCTGGAACTAGCTCTGTAGACCAGACTGACCTCGAATTCACATAGATGCACCTGCCTCTGCCTCCCAAGTACTGTGATTAAAGGCATGCACCACCACTGATTGGCTACATTTTCTGATCTGTTAGGAGAAAGTTTGATAGTAGTTTAAAATCCCTAAAATCTTGTTCTATTTTTCATTTGATTCTCAACTAATGTTTGATGGAGCACTTCCATTTTGCATACATGGAAATTGAAACAAGTCTTGTAAATGTTATCCTTTATAGGTCACATGGTTTTGTGCAC